AAAACTCAGGGACAAACTTTTTCTGGTATTGTGTGTATCTATATGTGGATAAGGGAGAGAATATTAATGTGCTGTGCTTCGGAGGCTGAGGCAAGCTTCTTTTATTGCACAGTTCAGAAGCATTATTTCACTTGACAGTAACTCACAAGCTTCCTACAGGCTAAATATTTTGTATACTGACTTAAATATATGGAGGTATCAAATGCATTACGATTCTGCCAATGCAACTTGGGAAAGGAATTTTCCACTTCACACTCCTGAGGAAAATGCATATGCTGTAGGCTAGGATATCATGTATGGAGGAACAAGATGGGGAGGGGAGGGTGTTTGGCACCATTATTCTCAAGAGATCAAAGAGCAGACAAAGGCACACTGGAAGTGCTTCACTGTATTTTAAGTGGGAATAGGTTCAAGGATAGGACAGCCTGTGGTGCTTGTAAAGGATTAAGTAGGGTACTGTGCTTTTAAGAAGACATAAAGAGGTATGTAATGTGATACATTTAAGCCTAAATGATTTTTTTGGGAGTCCTCAATGAATGTTTAAGCAAGCATGCCTTTGGTCCTGGTAAATCTGCTCACAACAAATAACTGCCATGAAAATGGAGATTCTTTTGACTGAATGAGATGCATATTTCATAACCTATGCAAAAAAGGAAAAATCAATTTGGAATACACAGAGTATTTAGGAATAATAAGAAAAAAAGAGAGATAAAAGGAAATATTCTCCAGAATAATCCAAAGCAAATGTAGAAATACAGATACCTTCCTTTCCTTCTAATATGACAAAGTAGCTAGAAAAACAAAACTGGTTGTTTCCATGCCTTCAGTTCAGGCCTTCAATGGTTTTATTTTCTCAAGTAGAGGGAAACAATAAATGATGGGAGACAAGAAAATATTTAATGTGCCTATGCTTCTCAGGCAGTCACATATTTTGAGGTATCAAACTCTATTAATCTATTCAAGATCAATCTACCCAGCTATCCTTTAATCACACCTGAGCCAGTCAGGTGCTGTGGATGTAGAAGGAATGAATGCATGCACAATGATATATATATATATATATATATATATATATATATATATATATA